ACAACCGGTCGCTCACGGCTCCGGTCGTCGCCAGTCTGGAGGCGCACGTGCGGTCCTTCGGGTCGGCGACACTCTGCTATCGGCGTCACCGATTATGTTTATCACTGTGTTCCTTCAGGGTTTGTTACAGCACTGGGAGTCACATGTAACGCTGCACTGTGACGTCACTAGAGGCTGAGAGTGAGCACGAGGGAAGGACGAGGGCGCGGAGGGAGCGGCGAAGACCCGCAGGGGCGGCGAGGCAGCCACAGGGGAGCGTTGCGGAGGGCCCGTGGGTCCGCTATGCATTAACAGTAGGTGCGGGGGCGTGAGGAGCGCTGCGGCAGGGGACGTGCCACTGGGACTGGGGGGCACTGCGGGCACCAGGGCACTCGGGCTGCGACTAGTGGGCCTGGCGGTGAGGGCCTCGGGTGGCCACAACTGCGACACGGGTTGGGCGCGGCGTGCGTGGCCTACTCTCGGCGGAGACCTGCTGACTGCGATTGATCTGTCGAGGGGCCTGGGATGACGAGCGGCGCGCGACTCGGGCCACCAGTGGCTGCGGCCAGGCACAACAATTTGACGGGCTGGCTCAGGGGAGGCCGGGTTTTGTTACTTACAAATATTGTTCGCATTGAGCGACTCCCTGGGGCCACTCCTCCCCTCGGAACTGCAGCCGCTCACGCCGCCCCGCTGAGGCGAGGGGAGTACCCGCGTGCGCCCCTCGAGTGCACTGGCCAACCAGCGCGCGGCGGGGGACGGAGGAGGGCGTGGCCGAGGGGAAGCGGCAAATCAGGCGAGGCCGGAGGCGTGACTGAGGCGGTGAGGGGACGCGCGCTTGTGGGTCAGTGTGGGTCGAGCCGCTGCGAGGGGAGGGTCGTGTCGCGCCGTGCGTCGCCGTCTCTACCACGTGGCGCCACTGACACCTGTCGCCCACTCCCCCGCTGCCAGGTCATCTGCCACACATACTCACAGACATCCGCACACAACACTTTCCACATTCCGGGCCAGCGACACTTTGCCAACCTATGAAGCTCCGTCCGCCTCCGCTGTCTCGAATCGGAACGAGTTACAGCGAGCGAGACACTAAAGCGGGGTCGCCGTGCATGTGGCGAGCCGGAGCTACACGCGGCTGCCACGCGGTCCCGCCTTCCCCTCGCCTCCGCCGCCGCGAAAAGATTTCACATTTTCATTCCAAATGCAAAGCCCGCAATAAATATTATACGGCAAGACACTAACTCATAATCATGCAGTACTTTAAATCACTCAGGTGAGAATTAATAATCGATAATCAGACCTTTAAAAACTGCAATAGATACCATCAACGGCGAACTAGGGGAAAAGAGATAATTAATGGAGAGGATAATTAATCAGTAGTTTATAAGATTATGAACACAATCCCCACAAACTCGGCAGTCAAATAAACATTCCTCCGACACATTAACCTTAGCTGAGATAATTAGCAGAAGCTTCGAGCTAATGTATCTGACGAAACGCTAATTGACACGCGTAATGCGATGGATTAGCGTCGGGCGTCTAAAATCATTCTGTTCGATTCCTAATTTCTCCATTCGGTTTAACTCGACGCGGAACAGATAAGGGAGAAAGCTGGTTTCATTTCCCCGTCTGGAAATACCGCTGCGTTCGATTAAGAATCGCTTTCATGGAAGAAAACTCTCAGATGCTTTATTCGCACTCTCGGTAAATCGCGCGGAGAGACCGGGAAATGATGCCCCATTTTAACATGAATTTTAACTTCACGGATTAATTTTCTGTTTCAAATCGGCGAGGTTAACGCTCTAAGATCTAATAAGAATCTCCCGAATGAAAGTCCAGTCAGTTTTTCGTTTTTCGCGAGCGGAGGTTCACCGACCTTCGATCTAATCTTCGATGTCAACAATCATGTTTTTCTTTTTCCTCTTGAATTAAATACAAATTTCACGAAAAAAAAAATCCACGTACGGCGTCGGTACACATGCCGCCGCACTCCATCGCCCTCACAGATGCTGCATCACCGACGCCCGTGATCTTAGCACTGAAAGATCATCACCAAAACATGTCTAACATATCGCTCTACGACTTACCGCCTTATTTTCGTTTTTCGATCCCGGTCCCGCTACCGTGAGGCGAGCGAGGGATAACTCCGCGTCTCGCTAATTCGAAACTCCGCAGGGTTTTTTCCCCTCCTCCACATCGATCGGCTGGCCAGGGCGATCCATATTTTCCTCGTGAATCATGATAACGGGAGATACATCGTTATATTTCGATTGTGCTGTAGTTGTCTCGCTCGCCTCCTGTGATCGGAGCTTCGGATTACCGCCTCGTCTAAGTTGTTCCGACATTGTTCAGTACTCCCGTTCTATTCCGCTAAAGACTTCATTGTCTAAATGAGAGTTGAGGTTGTAATTCTCATATATTCCGAGTACTTGAAGACAGGAATCTGTTGACTAAAACAGCATGAGACGTTTATATGATGCGAGAAAGTTCGATATATGATTTCGGATTCGCAAAAGATTCTTCA